AGGGCAAGAGGTGAGGGAGGTCCCCGTCTCTGAGGCTTCTCCTGGAAGGAGGTGCTGACTGTGCCCTCAGAGAACCAGGCCCTCCTTGGGGTCCTGGTCACCGTGCCCAGGGACCCGTTCTTTCACACCAGGGGCTATGCTGCAGGAGGTGGTCAGGAAGTAGAATGTGGGTACAATCAGTGACTCCTTTGGGGATAAAAATCATTGGGGCTCCTTTTCCATGGATATAGATAGATATAGATATAGATATAGATATAGATATACATATAGATATAGTTATAGATATAGATATAGATATAAATATAGATATAGATATAGATATAGATGATATAGATATACTGGAGGCTAGATGAACAAAGTTCGTGCTAAGGGCTTGGCCCGTGCCTTCTCTGCAGCTTCATCTAGGGTGACATCCTGTCTAATTAGCATATTATGCTTTTATTGTTACAGATGATTTAGACATAGAAATAGATATGGAGATAGACATAGATTGATCTTATTTTCTTTATTCTCACGTAAGAATATGTTCATTGTTTTATAGATATAGATGTAGAGATAGATATAGAGATAAAAATGATGAATTTGTAGATGTACATAAAGGTATAGATATAGGTATTGTTTTCTTTATCCTCACCTGAGGATATATTCATTCATTTTTAGAGGAAAAGTAAAGGAGAGAGAACTTAAGAGAGAAACATTGATGTGAGAGAGAAATATTGATCAGTTGCCTCCAATATATGACTGTTTTGCACATCAAATCTGCAACATTTTTTAGTATGTATTTATTTTTTTATTAAAATTCGTTTTATTGATTTTAAAGAGGAAGGGAGAGAGAGATAGAAACTTCAATGATGAGAGAGAATTATTGGTTGGCTGCCTCGTGCAAAATTAATTTAAGATGGAGCAGGAAATGGTATCTTTCTTTAACTCCATCTGCTCCTGGTCTGGGCCCTGTGCTGGTCCTAGCCCCACCCTGGTGTCCTGAGCGCCCCCTGCAGTCCAGCCCTGCTATTTTCCTCAGGGAGGTTTGTTTCTGGGCTCACACTGACTTCCCCTCACTGTGTATCCCGCAAAGTAATACACGGCCGTGTCCTCGGCTCTCAGGCTGCTCATTTGCAGATACAGCATGTTCTTGGCGTTGTCTCTGGAGATGGTGAAGCGGCCCTTCACAGACGCAGTATAGTATGTGCTACCACCATTCCAATTAATGTATGAGACATGGCGGACCCAGAGCATGGCATAGTCATCAAAGGTGAATCCAGAGGCAGCACAGGAGAGTCTCAGAGACCCCCCAGGCTGCACCAGGCCTCCCCCAGACTCCACCAGCTGCTCCTCACACTGGACACCTGCAAACACAGAGACACAAGGTGGACTGAGAATCACATGGAAGCACCAACCGGGACAGGCACAGGTCTCAGCGCTCCCCACTCCTGAGATGGACCTTGAGAAATGATCAGGAGGAAAACGCAGCTTGGCACCAAGTCCATGGTGGAGCTGCTGGGGTCCTGTCTCAGGTGCTTGGGTTCTGGGTGTCTCCCCAACATGCCCGGCAAGGGCCCCCTTTTATGAGCAGGAGGAGAGCCCCATTTGCATGGAGTCTGCATATAAGGTGCAGCTGAGACCCTGGGCTGCATGCCTGACCTTGTCATCCTAGGGGCGGCCCCAGATGGGAAAGGACTCGAGGACACTGGCCACAAGGGATCCCGTCCTGACCCCCCTCCCTCCTTTCCCAAGACCCGTCACTCTGACCCCATTCCTTGGGGGGCAGCTTCCAGGATTGAGAGTCCTCCTTCCTTGGGGTTTTGAGGAGGACCCAGAGGTGCTGCATAAAAGGCAGGTGGATGTGGCTTCCTCTCACTCTCCTTCACTGGCCGTGGGCCATGTTGCCTTTCTGGGGTTTGGGAATAAGAATATGCATTGGATGATGCTTCTATTTTGAAGATGAAAGATTCTCCTTGTTATTTTCCTCAATCAGATCCTCCACAAAACTGGAACCTCTACATGTGAGGAGGCAGGAGAGGCTGGGCTAGATGCTGTGTCCACAGCCTCAGTCTCAAACCTGCTGCCCCTCTCAGAAGCACACAGCTGCTTCCTGAAAGCACACATTTCTCTTAACTTCCCTGCTGTTCCTGTGCAAAAGACATATTTCCCAGCCTCTCAAAGGGGGAAAATTTCCAGCATTTACAAATGGAACCCTGGCTGGTGGTTCTCAGTGTTTGGAGCATCATCCCCACACCAAAGGGTGTGAACTCTTTAGAGTCACCACCAACATCATGTGGAGGTAGCAAGTTTTTAATAATTGTGTGCACCTCCCTCTCCACACGGGGAAGAAACCTGAATGAACATATGTGGTAAATTAAATAAAGACAACACGTTGATGTAAGAACTGTCCAAACATGAAGAGAATGTTTTATAAGATTTTATTCCAGCCAAAGTGTTGACAACTGTTGGTGAGCAAGACCTCAAATGCTCTGGAGAATAACTGTTTGCAGCTGGGTTTGTGTATTTGAAGTTAAGGAGAGAAGGTGAGGGATGACATGGAGGTGGGAGAGAGCAAGGTGGGTCCTGGATGCCAGGATAGTGAACAGGAGGTTGTCTCTCTCTCTTTTCTAATTTTTATTGTTGAAAGTATTACATAGGTCCCCCCTTTCTCCCCATTCCCTCCCCAGGCCCTCACCACTCATTGTGTCCATGGGTTAGGAATATATGCAGACAAGTTCATTGGTTGATCTCTTCCCAGCAACCCTCCCCTCCCTACACTCTGAGGTTCCATGGTCTGTTCATGCTTCTGTGTCTCTGGGTCTATTTTTGTTCATCAGTTTATTTGGTCCATTAGCAATGCAGACTGGGGCAGCATTATGGAAAACTGTATAGAATTTCCATCTAAAAGTTAAAAATGGAACTCCTATTTGACACAGTGATCCCACTTCCCAGCCAGAGATCGTCCGGGCCTGGACATCTGGTCGACCGCAGTCAACATACAACCAGGCCCAAAGACGCAGGTGTGGTTCAGGGAGAGGACCTGCAGCGGGTCTGCTGCGCCCTCAGCAGCGCTGGGCCTCTGGGCTCCTGGGGAGCGGGCGGAAGTCAGTCCCAGATGCACCTTTTCCTTCTGACCCTTCTCTCAGGAGGAGCCTCCTCCATCTCATTGCTGAGGTCAGACCCCGCCCTTCGCCTTCTGCAGCCTTTCCTCGGCCTCCAGGGTGGTTTCCATCTCCATCTCGGCCTCCTGCCTCTGAGTGACCACTGTGCCCGCGTCTGTTTCCAAAACTTCAGATGAGCCCTTGGGAGGCGCTTATGATTACCGCTCGGCTCTTGGACGGAAACATGTCCTTTTGGTTCCACACTGCGCCGCCCCAGCGGATCCTACAGGACATGGTCCAGGGACCCCCAGGAGACAGCGTGCTGCCTCCAGTCCGCGCCATGCAGCACCCCCAACGCTTCCAGTAGCTCTGGGGGACCCCCGGTACCGCCCGCAGACAACATGCTCCTGCAGCAGCCAGGTCCCCTGGGGGAAACCCACCCAAACAGGGTCTCACCATCTCCAAACGCCCTCTGTGCTGAGCACAGACGCTGCTACATCACTGCGCTCACACACCTTCCGCAGCGGGTGCGGCCCTGTGGCCATGTTCTCACAGGGTTTCTGTTCTGCTCTTTCTCCTCCATGGAGGCCCCGCGTCTGAACCCACCAGCACTGCCCTCTGGGAGCAGTGAGACCCGGGTCATGGGACCCGCAGTCATCATGTCCTCACAAATCTCAAAGCCTCCAAAGGACCGAGACTCCTGAGGCGTTGCCACCTCTCCCTCACTGCCAGGCTGGGGTCCAGCAGCAGCGGCCAGAGGCGGAGGGTGCAGGGGTCCAGGCCACCAGGTGCCCGGGTCCAGTAGCACCAGCTGCTGCTGCACCAGCCAGGCCAGTCACAAGCATGCACACTGGGGACCTGGGCTCTGGGTCTGGAGCTTTTCCAGCAGCTCTGCCTCCTCCTGCTCAGTCCCTTTCTCTGCTGCTGCCAAATGGGCCTCACAGTCGCTGGAGGGAGAACTGAGGTCTCTTGAAGTGCTTGGTCCTGCTCTGGCCCATGACAACGTGAGGACCAAGAGGGAACAGCAGGGGTGAGCCGGTGGCTGCTGCCCAGCTGGTGGCAGGTCCTTGAGGAGGGGTTGGTTCACTGGACAGCTTCCCTGGGCCTGGGACTGCAGGGGCCACAGGGAAAGCAGTGCGCAGGCGCAAGGGACTAGGCCATAGTTTTCTTTGTAGAAATAATTGGGAGATTGGAACCACGCAAGCCCCTGGAGGCAGAATTCCTCCCTCTACCCCACCACCTCGCCTAAATAAAAGCCCTGCGCCTGTCTCCTTTCCAGTCTCCATCCAAGCAGGTGTGACTTGCTTAGTGATCTTTCCTGTGCTTCTCAGGGGTTTCAATCAGGAGCATAATAACCGTCCCACGTCCCCTTGGTGTGTGGGTGTGTCATGAACATCTGTACCAGCTGCCGTGCCTCTGCTTCTGAATGGTGTCCACTCCTCTGGGTGCTGTGAGCATGAGGACAAGACCAGGACTGTCACCCTGTGGGTCCTTCTTCTGCAGCTTTGGGTTCACACACATGTGGGGCCCACGGTCCAGCATTCAGGGGAGCTGCACTGTTGGGTCATTGGAGCCTCTTGTTAGATTCAGGTGATGTGGGTCAGTGATTTGATGATAAAACTCATTATGGCACAAGTGTGTATGAAAAAGACTCTCTACTTTTGTTTACATGAGAAAGTTGTCTCTCTTTACAACAGACTTTCTAACTCAGAGACTCAGACATCAGCGCAGAATCAGGATCCAGAGGTTCCCTGAGGGAAACTGTGATATGAAGAGGAAACCACACAGGAACCAGCCCAAACGTCCAGCTGCACCTGCTGCCAGGATGGTCCATGTGTTCAGGGACCCTGAGCGCTCCCTGGTGGTCAGAGATCTTCCTGAGGGAGGTTAGTGTCTGGGCTCACACTGACTTCGCCTCACTGTGTCTCTTGCACAGTAATACACAGCTGTGTCCTTGGTGGTCACGGAGCTCAGCTGAAGGAAGAACTGGTTCTTGGATGTGTCTCTGGAGATGGAGGTTCGGCTCTTGAGGGAGGGGCTGTAGTAAGTGCTACCATCATAGCGTATGCTCCCTATCCACTCCAACCCTTTTCCTGGTGGCTGGCGGATCCAGCTCCAGTAGTAATCACTGGTGATGGAGTAACCAGAGACAGAGCAGGTGAGGGAGAGTGTCTGCGAGGGCTTCACCAGTCCTGGGCCCGACTCCTGCAGCTGCACCTGGGACAGGACACCTGGGACAGAGAGAACACAGTGAGTCCTGGGCTCAGATGCAGGATCCCCATCTCCTCACGTCTAAGCCCTGAGTCACTCACATCTGGGAGCTGACAGCAGGAAGAGGAAGAGCCACATGGGAGTCATGTCTTGCAGGTGAGGTCCTCGTCCCTCAGAAAGTATTCTCCAAGGTGAGGAGGCCCTGAATTTAAGTGGACGCCAACTCTGTGTGTGTGTGGTGGCCTTGTGGGCATTTGCATATGGGAGGTGTCATCACATACAAAGGGCAAGAGGTGAGGGAGGTCCTGGTCTCTGGGGCTTCTCCTGGAAGGAGGTGCTGACTGTGCCCTCAGAGAACCAGGCCCTCCCTGGTGTCCTGGTCACCGTGTCCAGGGATCTCTCCTTCCACACCAGGGGCTATGCTGCAGGAGGTGGTCAGGAAGTAGGATGTGGGAACAATCAGTGAGTTTTTAGGAATGAAATCAATGTGCCTCTGCTGGGATAGATATAGATATAGATGTTATAGATATAGATATAGACTAGATGTAGATATAGATAATATTTAGATATAGAGATAGAGATGTGGTTATTGATATAGTTATAGTTATAGATATAGATATAGAGATAGACATAGATACAGATATTTTAAAAAATATATAATTTTCTTGATATTTAGAGAGAGAGTACAGGAGAGGGATAGAAAGAAACATACAGGAGAAAATCATTGATTGGCTGCCTCCTGCATGGGCCCCACTGGGGATGGAGACCGTAACCCCATCATGTGTCCTCACCAGGAATTAAACCAGTGACTTCTTGGTTCCTATGTCGACGCTCAACCACTGAGCAACCCGAGCCAGGCTGGATCTTCTTTCTTTGTCCTCACCTGAGGACGTGTTCATTGATTTTTAGAGGGAAAGCAAAGGAGAGAGAGAAGGACAGAGGGAAACATTGACCAGTTTCCTCTCGTATACACCCATACTGCTAATTACACCCACAACATTTTAATTTATTCATTTAAATATTTAAAAATAGTTATTAGAAAGAAAGGGAGAATAAGAGAGAGAGGAAAACATCAAAGATGAGAGCAAATAATTGATTGGCTGCCTCCTGCATGCCCCACACTGAGGATGTTGCCCAAAACCTGGGCATTTGCCCTGACCAGGAATCAACCGTGACCTCCTGGTTCATAGGTCATCACTCAACCACTGATTCATGCTGGTGTTGGGGTCCAACCCCAGCAGGTCCAGGGGTTCCCATAGGTGTGGACAGAGTTGGCGAAGAAGGAATGACACAGAGGCAGCATTCAGTTGATCAGCATAGCGAGGTTCTCCCTTCAGGATCTCCAGCCAAGTTCTGTGTACAGGTTCTCTTGCTAGGTTCTCCAGCCAGGTTCTTTGTTTTATTGTCTTATTACATCTGTATTTATACCAGTTGATTTTAATCCTATCAATTTCTATTGCAAAGGTTAGGGCATTTCTTATCTCCATTCCAGGGAGTAAAGATTATGTAGCTTAAGTGTGATTGTTCGTAGTTAAAGTGATTAACTACCTGCCTAGCACTTAGTTAAGGGGTTTTATTCCCTCCCTAACTTCAGGGGAAAATCCCTACCTGGGGAAACAACCTTTCTTGGAGAGGTGACCTTGGTTAAAACACATAGCGCCAAGAAAGGGAGCAAACATATTAAGAACAGTATGTCATATACGCCAGGTCCCTTGAAACATATGCTGTGTAGATGTTTCTTCCCTGCAGTGACTGTGTCAAGCAGCAAGGACGGACCGCTTCCGGCATGCTGGCTGGGCTGTCCCTGCACTTTTAGGATTCACAGAGTTCTCTGTGTACTGGGTTCTGGTCAGCGAGACGTTGGCAACATCATAGGTGACCAGGCCCCAGACTGTCCCTCTCTTCCTTCTGACCCCAGTGGCCACGGGCTTGTCCACCACGATGCTCTGCAGCTCATGGGCACCTGGAGGTTGCCTCAGCACAGGTGTGAGCTGTTGGAGGTGCTCTGAGCTCAGTGCTCAGCTGTGTCTCCACCTGACTCAGGAGGGGCCCCCATGACCTGACATCATATGTGGACCCTACATGTGGGCTCAGCAGGAAGGCTGAGTGGCCCTGGCCCTGGGTCTAAGGGAGGGGCTGGCACAAGAGATGGACATGAGAGGATGGTGTGGGTGTGCATTTAAGGCAAAACCTACCAGGGCGGGAAGGTGAGGGCAGCAGCAGCCATACTGTATGTCCTGTTTAGGACCCATGGTGTGAGATTGTGGGCGGCAGAGGACAGAGGGTGAGGATGGGGTGGTGGCGGCGAAGCTGGAGGCACAGCAGAGGTGGATGGGACCATGTCTCCCTTCAGCAGGTTCTCAGGATCAAGGTGGATTCTCTAGGGGAAGCAGGACAGGTGTTGGGACACGTCCCCTGAAACCAGGTTCTGAGACTCAGTAGGAAGAGGCCCAGCAGGGCTTCCTGCCTCATTTGGGGCACACAGAGAGGTGGGAGCTTCCAGGCTCACAGAGAGGCAATGCCCACCGGGTCCGACCTGACACCTCAATGCATAGCCATGTCAGTGAGAGGCAAGCGGGTAACTGACCCCAAAGGGCTCCTACAGGCGCAGAGCTAGGGGCTGGTAACCCTCAGGTGAGGTTTGGGTTCTGGACTCCGTGTTCCACGCTCAGCACTGCGTAGAGGATGGGGGACGGCACTCTCAGTGAGGATACAGGAATCTCTACAATGTTTTCCTTGTCAACCCAGAGAGCAACCATCAGGGACATGGTGACAGGAAGGGCACAGATGAGAAGTCAACCAGATCTGACACACAGCCACTTCCTGCCTTT